TCTTACAAGACTTACCTCAAAGTACTAGATAGTCACTTCGATCCTTGTCTTGTTATTCATACAAATTTGCTTTCTATAGTCAACCACATGCTAACTTTGTTCTCTACCCCTCATCTTCTCCCAAGTTTCTCCAATCTGGTGTAGCCTTTATGTACCAATTACCTTTTGACTGTATAATACGCATTTCAGAACACATAAAGGAAAAGCCATTGCAAAATACGCAATTTATCCTAACTTATCGATTTACCTTAAGGATATATACCTTGACAGTCCCAGATGCAGGTGGATATCCATCATTAGTGCATTAACAATGCCTCAAACGTAAAACTTCAGGAAGGATGGTGGCAAATGAAACATACTACAATCATTACGAGAATGAACTGAGTTTGGTCTCTTCTATCTTGCGTGCAGTAATCACTACCTTGCATTTCCTCATTTGCTTCCTTTTGAAAGACTCTAGATGACGCGCACAGGATCGCATTCAACTCAGTGACACACAATAAAAAGTGAATAATGAGCTCAATTTGGGATTCTATTCAATATCTTTAACTTTCTGTGGTGGTAATTTCAACAAGTTATGTTTTGAACCAATACAATTCAGTCAGTAATCGGAGAATAAGCAATCAATCAAATCTGACTCCAAAATGATAAAACATCATCTGATGAGATACCTCGACACAGAGCGAGGCTGATTCCCCTGCGGAAGGTGATTGAGGCCCTGTAATCAAACTCCAAAATCACCAATAATCCCCACAGGAACACACCCCATCTTCAAACCTATGAAACCTATTGTTATCTCTCAAAATCACCACCCTTCCGGTCACCTTACTGACAAACTTAATAGCAGTATGACAATCGCCACAAACTCTCAGATTCTTCATTACTCTAATTGGTCTCCCCTCAGGCACAGTCAACAACCCGAACCCGATTGCCAACCTCTCACTGTGATACCAAACAGACCTCCTCTTCTCCTCCCTATCCACATCCCTCAACACAAAGCTAGTGTCTGCAACATACCCAGCCATCTCCATCTTCTCCCCAACCTCCTCCAAAATCCGATATATCTCTTCACTTCTTGAATTAGATCGATCACCCGATACAAAGGTGTACACTTTGCCCCCTGTTGCTTCCAACCAACTTAACCCAGTCTCCTTCTTCACCCCTTTGTCACGCATTGCTTTCCGTGCACGTGCAGCGTCTGCATATTTTCCTGCGGCTGCATATGCATTCGTCAGAAGCATATGCATGCGCCAGAGCTCGTCGAAGCCAGGTCTCAAAGAGCTTCTCAGCAGCAAATGCAGCAGTGTCGGTGTCATTGTGGAGTCTGCAGCCCGTTAAAAGGGCACCCCATACGGATTCAGTTGGGGGAATTGGCATTGTCTCGATGATTTCTACTGCTTCTTTCAGCTTTCCTGCTCGGCTGAGGAGGTCCACTATGGTCGCGTAGTGCTGATGCCCGGGTTCAATCCCGTGTTGTTCGGACATCATTTTAAAATACATCTTTCCCTCTTTGACTAATCCCGCGTGGCTACACGCAGTCAGCAGACACAAAAACGTGATGAAATTGGGTCGAACGTTCGAAACCCGCTCCATCTCTCCAAACCTTTCGAACGCCGCATCCGTATGCCCATGCTGCGCCGAAGCAATTAAAATCGCATTCCACGCACCGAGGTTCCTGTCCGGCATTTCATCAAACACCTTATAAGAAAACTCAACCAGCCCACACTTTGAATAAAGCGAAATCAACGAGCTCCCCACAAACGGCGACGCCTCATAACTACTCTTCACGCAGAGACAATGAACCTGCGACCCGAGCTCAAGCAGCGTCGAGACCGCGCAAACCCTCAGAAACGCAGGAATACGTAAAGTCATACGGCCCGCGACGCCCGCCCTCCATCGCCGCCTAGAACAACACCGACGCCTCCCCCCTCCAGCGCCATCTTGCGCGCTACCGCAGATAAGCCCGCTCACGAGGACCACCGTTCGCTCCGGCATCTCGATCGAACACCTGCCGCGCCGTCCCCGATCAACCCGCCACTTCGCGTACATGTCGACGCAGAGAAGAAGCCACAACACATCGGCAGCCGCGAAGCTCGTTCTTGATGGAACAGGCGATCGTGCGCAATAATGGCACTGCTGCCAGAGGGAGGGGGACGGCCGAGCGGCCGGCTCGCAGGGATTTGCTGGCGGGAGGGAGGGTCGTGCGTTCGTTGGGGAGGACGGAGCAGAGCAGGCGAGGCATCCAGCGCTCGCGGAAGGGAGCGAGGGAGTTGAGCCGGGGTCTTCGTCTGCCGGCGAATGAGGCAGCATGCAAGGGAGCGACCAGCGCGGTATGGGCGCCTGGAGGGGTGTCGAGGAAGGCTGAGGAGGCAGCAGCAGGTACGGGCGAGGCGGGCCAGCGGCGAGTAGAGGCGTGATGACGGTTGGTTGGAGACGGGAGGGCGGCGAGGAGGAGGGAGCGCGGACGGTGCATGGGCGCCGAGGTGCGGTTTTGAGGAGGAAGGCGTGGAGCTGCTGGCCTTTCGGGAGGTTGCGGGAGGAGGAGAGGGAGATTAGGAGGTGGGAGAGGGAGAGAGGGGAGAGAGGGAGCGGGGTGTGCATAGTTGTTACATTAGAGATTTTGGAGGAGACGGTGGTTTTAGAATTTCAAATCTCGAAGAGGGGAGGGAAAATGTCTATGAAGCTTTTAATAAGATGATAACAATAGAGATGTATGGTGGCATGATCTCATCCGTTGAAAATGATATATGCGACAAGGATTTGGAGAGCTAGACTCTCTCCAACTACCATCTAATTGTTGAAAGTGATATATGCTAGTGCCACGTAAGAAATTTCCAGCGAAAACTCTCATGTTTGCATAGGAGAATGTGTAAAAAGTGTAGAATTTAGAAGCTTTAGTGTATATAGGTGCCGCCAAACTAGCGAGGGTATATAAAGGACAAATAAAGGGATAATAAGCTTTTCCTTGTTCTCCGTTCCTTCTTCCAGTTCCAAATCTAAAAGAGAGAGTAGAACTCCAATAAGAACCTCATAATCAGCCTCTTTATTCGAAGAAGGACCGAAACTATACAAGATCTCGAAGAAGGCCCAGAACTATACGAGATATGCATGGATAGAATGAATTAATACGTATCTTGTATTAATCTTCACACAAGCTGTGCCGTTTAAAGGGGCTTGAGGGGCAGTTTGATCCACACTATCGACCTTGAGTACCCAACTACCCATCACCCCCCAGGGGGCGAGGGGGTGCATTTTCATCATTTCAATGCCTCTGAATAGTTCAAATCGGCCTGCATAGTGTCGGGCGTTCCAATAGAATGGGTGCTCATTGACCTAGAGGTTGACTCTAACATATTGCCGCTTTAACTTGCTAGTATCGAGTGGGAATCTGATAAGAACATACCTTATGTATGGTGCGGAATGTTCTGAGCCAAGCGAGTCACTCTATAGGAGAACAATTTGGACATTTCGTTATTGACCCCTGTTTGGCACTAAGAACCCTTACTATGCAAAGTTCTAATACAACTTGTACTCGTTAGTTTCTTATATCATCTGCTCAACATTTTTTGGCCTTTTCCCCTTTTATTTTGCATGACTCTATTTGCATTTGAAGCAAAACAAGACAATATAGCGACTTAGGGGGTGTTTGGTTGGCTATTTTTATTAAAAAGTTTATAGAAAAGACCTGACAATGACATTTTTGTAAATAAAATTTTTTCTGTAGATTTTTATAAACGGCGTTTGGTTCAAAAAAATTATAAATTTTTTTTTCTATAAAGTACAGAAAAATACCCTATTTTATAGAAATTAATTTCCGCTCAAAATGGGCGGAAATCACCCAAAAATCTGACACCCTTTTTTAAAAATAATTTATCCCCTCCCCGTACCTATTTTCCCAGCCAAAATTTTCCCAGCCGAAAACATTTCTCGCGGTGACTTGAGGGTGAAAAATCTAGGGTTTCTTCCCTCTTGTTCCCGCCCCCAAATCCAACAACGATTTGGTCCTTCGCTCCTTTTATCGTTTCCTCCTGATCTCGTGCTCAGGTCTTTTCACCATTACCTCTTGCTCGAGCTCGAGCATCATCAGTTTTCTTCAATCTTGGATGTTGGAGGTGGGGTTGATTTGGGGGTTGTTGATTATTCGGTTCTCTGGTCAATTGTGATTTGGGGGTTGTTGATTATTCGGTTCTCTGGTCGATTGTTAAAGGTGCGGTCGATTGTGATTTTGGGGTTGTTGATTTTCCCAGCCAAAAACTTCAATCATGGTCGATTATGGGTGAAAAACCTAGGGCTTTTCCTCTCATTTAGTTCTATATTGTTGGATTTTTGGTTGATATTTGTGCTTGTTGTCGAGCTGCTAAGGCTGTTTTTTTGTTACTATGCTGATTACGACCTTGTTAAGCTCTATATTGTTGGGTTTTTGGTTGATATTTGTGCTCGTTGTTGAGCTGTCGAGGCTATTTTTCTGTTACTATGCTGATTGCGAGCTTGTCTAGCTCTATATTATTAGGGTTTTTGTTGATATTCGTGCTCGTTATCGAGCTGCTGGGGCTATTTTTTTGTTACTACACTGATTGCGAGCTTGTTTAGCTCTATATTGTAGGTTTTTTTGTTGATATTCGTGAGTGTTGTTGAGTTGCTGGGGCTGTTTTTTTGTTACTATGCTGATTGCGAGCTTGTCTAGCTTTATATTGTTCGGTTTTTTGTTAATATTCGTGGGTGTTGTCGAGCTGCTGGGGTTATTTTTTTGTTACTATGCTGATTGCGAGCTTGTCTAACTCTATATTGTTAGGGTTTTTGTTAATATTCGTGGGTGTTGTCGAGCTGTTGGGGCTGTTTTTTTGTTACTATGTTGATTGCGAGCTTGTTTAGCTCTATATTGTTGGGTTTTTGGTTGATATTCATGCTTGTTGTCAAGCTGCTGGGGTTGTTTTGGCTCCGTTTGGTGCTCAGTTTGAGCTTTTGGCAATGATGATAGTCAACTAAATAAGATTGCAAACTAATTTATAATGTTCATAATAAGATAAGGCGTTCTTTACTACATTATTAGAACACAATCTACATGAACTTGTACGGTTCAGTTGAGGCAATCAATTTTGATGAGACTAATAGCTGAGCCAAATTTCTACATGAAAATATCAAATTACGACATGAAATTTTCAAAGTGTTACATGATTTATTTAGATCATTGATTTTGATCTAACCAAAGTAAATAAACTTCTAGTCCACGATGCTGGTCAATCCCCTCTTTACCCATGTTGGGCATAGACCCATTGTTACTAATATCGTGCACGTGAGTTAAGAGATCATTTATATTCCAATTTGTGTAGGGGTTATCGTTGCAATAGGGACACCTCCACCACCCGTTTTGGTCTCTAACTTTCAAAGCTTTGGCTCTTAGCATTATTTTTGCTTCTTTCGTTATATCCCACATCTCATCACGCTCTTGATCTTCATCTGTATATAAAAATAATTCTTCATAGTTGGTTTCTACGGTATATTCCAAGCACGCTGATTACAAAAAAGAAAAACTAGTCTCTGGTCATTGTGAAAATATTAATAAAATTTGTAATTTTCTTAACCAAAATACATACCTTTGGATTTGATGAACTTGAATAGTCACCACAGTCTCTAACACTCTTACTTATGTTTTTCAATTATGAAAATTTTGTGTTCATGGATAGTTGAGGATAAAAGGATTTTATAAGATTTGAGAATGTGAAACTAGCCGTTAAATTAGCCGTTAAAAAGTGATACATATGGTAGTTGATATTTTTCTATAAATTTGGCATATGTAACCAAACAAAAGAAAAGGAAAACGTGCTATTTCTATAAAGTAATGAGCCAATTTCCTTGTTTTGAACCAAACAAGCAAAGTACCAAAAATAAGAAAATTAGTATTTTTTGACTTCTCAAAACTTTTCCTATAATTATTTTAAGAAATACAAGGAAATCTATATTTTGAGTGTTTTCTTTTTCCTATAATTTATAAAAATTGAACCAAACACCCCCTTTGGTTTTACACTATCCGTGACCAAAACGTTACTTCCTCATAGAATGTACCATTGATGTAGATCACATAGCCAACAAGTTCATGAAGTGGTTGGACCGGTTGAAGTTTAAACAGGATCCAAATGGATAATTAACTTAGGGGGTGTTTGTTTCACCAAATTTTTTTGCATTTGGTATGGATCACAAGTTTTAGGATCAAAAAGTAAGTTTTTTTTTTGTATTTTGGGATTCCATATATCGTATTTGTTTTAAGAAATTTTTTAAAATATTGAATCCCAAAAGTGCAAAAGTGTCCAAATTTTAGAATTTGCCAAATCCTCTCAATTGAAGAGGATTTTGACAAATCCTATAAATGGGTGTGCTTACCTTTCAATTGAAGAGGATTTTGATAAATCCCATAAATAGGTGTGCTTACCTCTCAATTGGAGAGGATTTGACAAATCTTAAATTTGTCTTTTTGTGAGAGGTAACCTCACCAAGATAGCATATTCATCATATTACAAAATTTTGATATTTGGTAATACTATAATTTGAACTTGAAACAAACAAAATGTTATAAATTATAGTATTCCAAATCCCAAAATATTAATGAAACAAACAATATTTTAGAAATCCCAACCCATAACAAAACACCTATGGATTTCAAATCCTATGGTGAAATCCATATCCTAAAATTATAGGATTCGAAAAAAGCACCCCCTTAACCGAGAATAAATTACTGCCTCTCACAATGCAAGAGTTATGAGATGAGCCATATTATTTTCGGGGCGATCCAATAATGGAGCCACCAGGACCCACTATGATTTTTCGCAATGAAAAGAATACTCGAAGTCAATCAATAACTTACACTGCAATAAAATTGTATGTGCCCACACTTATTTTATAACATATATAAAAGTATCATTTTATTTGCAAAGAATTAAACAATAGTTACATAAATAAAAAGTATAGCAAATCACGACACATATTTGTGTCATTATATATACAATTAAATATAATTAAAAAAGGTTAACAATCCAACATGAATTATAAGAGGATCTATTAATGAGCTTAAATAATAAAGCTTAGATTTTAATTATGATGACGATTAAACATTTATGATGGTATATGTTGATGTTAAGTGATCACAAAGTCAATTAAATCGATTGGATGAGGTGAGGTTGATGAGGGGCCGCTCCCTTCCCTAAATATCCGGTTCTGAGTCTAGTAGCTTGAGCTTGCACAAATAACAGCTCGTGAGAGGATGTGGCTTAGTTCCCTCATGGTTCCTCCGACAATCAAGTCAGCTGGTGAACTTGAGTGAGGAAATGAAGAACTGCGTGAGTTCTGTAGTGTAGTGCAATTAGTAGGTATTGCTTAAGTTAGAGATTAGATCTCATAAGATCAGTCCCTTTCAATGTTAGAATAATACCTCTATTTATACTAGTGGTATAAGGACAGAACCGTCATTGTGACCGAGCATAGGATGGCGGTGAAGGAGCATGAGTTAGCGGCTGCGTTAGCACTTGCTTTACAGGTGTCGGCTGGTGACTAGAGGAGAGATCACCTCAGCATTAAATAAGAAGCGATTGGATGCATAGAGATGCCAATGTGGCCCGATTAGTCATGAAAACTATCAAGGCTAGAGACATGATGGCG